CTTGCTGAATTATGCACTTTAATTGTTAAATACATGCATAGGAACTGACTTGAAGGGTATTTAGCTTGTCTTTGCAATCTAAATTTGACCCTTATATGCTGAGTTTTGATGTCAAAGTGCAAAAATGCAGAAAACTGTTTCTAAATACTGATTTGAAGCTTACAATCTGCACTTGGGTTCTGAATTTCGGCTTCCGTTGTTTTTACTTTCTCTGAGTGTTTTAAAGAAACACTTTTACTTCTCTTTACTACTTCATGGTTTATTTGCATGTATGTTTGCAAGTAGTAAACTGTGTCAAGCCATTGACGTTAAATCGGGCGGCTTATGGGAGGCAACCCATTTACTTTTCAAGCGTTTTTTTTAAATTACTTCTAACTTCTAGTAATTGTTCTATTTTTCTTCTTGTCTTATAATTGTTGATTGCATTTTTTTTCCTTCTTTTTTTTAACATAACTCACTTACTTTTATATCATTTTTTAATTTTTCTCTAAATTTCTTGCTTACTTCTAACTTCTTTAACTTGTTGTTGTACTTATTTTCCCTTGTGGTCATTAATTAGATTATTATTTTTTTTTAATAACCAACTTACTTTTCTATTTTTTTTTTTCCGAATTGATGTAATATTACTTGTTGTAACTATAGGAATATTTTTTTTCTTTTCTCTTTCATTTAGTTTTTATTTAAAGTGTATAACAAAAAAAAGCGATCTTGTTGAGATTAATTGTTTTATTACTTGTGCTTCTAACCATCTACTTTGAGAGCTTTTTGCAAGATTTGCTGAGTTTTAGGTGGAAGCATAGGTGTTTGGAATAAAAATCTGCGCAAAAATGGTGCAAAATCTGTTTTGGAACAGGAGTTCTAACCCCCGGGTATTGGTATATTGTCAATTTTCTGTTTCTAGAAGCCTTGGGTGTTTACATTTGATCATTTTTGGGCTGAAAATTGAAAATTCTGCACTCTTAAGGCTGATTTTTGGATACTAATGAAAAGTTCTGCACTTTGAAAAGTTATTTTTGGACTTGTAAGCTGATTTTTTGAGTGCGAAATGCAAATTTTACACTTTTTACAGCTTATAGGTGCTGAAATAGGAAAAAAATCTGCAATCTTTTCTTGGTGTTCAATCTGATTTTGTGTTCATCAGATGCATATGTGCTGAATTATGAGGTTTAATAGATGCATATGAGCTGCTTTGCACATGCATGACATAACTAACCTTCTCATATGCAGCATTTTGTTTTGAAAAGTGCAAAAAGGCACAAGAATTTGTTTCCAGAACCAAATTTGAAGCTTGATATCTACATTCTTTAAATCTGATTTTTCTCTCTTCAAAGCTAAAAGACTTGGTCTTAGTCATGTTTTGCAGATTTTAGGTCCATCGAGCACTTTGAGGAGGGAAAAGTGATTAGTTGATGCTGCGTATACTTTGTTTTTTAGTTGCATTTCCCTTTCCCCTTCTCTCTTTGCTAAGTCCGTGCTTGCTTAATATTTGCATACCATATAGATACATCGAGGACTATGCATAATTTAAGTGTGGGGGGAGTTTCTCACGATTATCTTATTTGTTGGGAAATCATATTTTGGGCAATTCTTTTTCAAAAAAAAAAATAGGTTTCGGGTCCAAATATTTTCATTCTTAGTTGCAAATCTTCTTATTTAGAGCATTGTTTTCAAAATTGACCCAAAAACATCATTGTTTTTCTTGGGGCTTTATCCTGAAAGATGGCAAGTGTATACTTTTTAAACTCGCATTGAGTCTTATGCTCTTTTCTTGGTATAAAAATGACCTTAGAATGTTTGAAGTCCTTCTAGGTTACCTTAGAATTTTGTTTTCTAGAAC